TTCATCACAAACATCACCATGGCAACAGTAGCCTTGATCATCCAGATCTAGCACACAACGAATTATCAACAGACATGGATAGCATGAGACCGAGTCGCTCCACTACGGTTGACAGTTTACGCTCCGAGGTAGACAGCATGTGTTCGTGTGGTGCTTTGTCACGTGACACTAGTGTTCACGATCTTCTGGGAAATCCAAAATCTGGCAACTCAACTCCGCAAAAACATTCAGAAGTTCCCACATTTGAGGAAGAGTCGCATCATTCTTTGATGCGTGACCCCGAGTATGTGTCTCAAACTGCGGAAAACGTGCCGGAGTCGCCATCTTCATCACAAAAATCAGAAAAACCTGTGGACGACATTATTCCAAATGTTTTGGATTATGCGGACTCGTTTAAAACTAACAGTATTACTTCCACGGAGGTCACAGCACACGATGCAGAAACCAAAAGTGACATATCCAAGGACACAACTCTTCAGTCTCATGAGGCTAAAACAGATGCAAATAGTTCCCCAACAGACGGACAAACTGCTGACCTTGAATCGGTCGAAACTGAAGGTGAAAGTTCAAAAGTTCAGAGGTCAGATGCTAATGATGCGTCTGTCAGGCAGGAAGAGGCGGACCCGAAAGATTTACAGAAAACTGAAAGTGATTCTAAACTTGATAATTTAAATGCTGAAGCAGATGTGGTTGCCAAGGGCAACGTGGACAAAATGGCTGACGAGAAATTAAGTGTTAACACAAGTATTGCTAGCGATGTTCCCAGTGCACAGTTCAGCCCCTTGAAAACATCGGCTCAACATTTGAATAATTTTGTGAATTACGCTACTGGTTTGTTCAGAAATGCATCCGAGGATAATATCGTCAAGGACGTTCACGACATGAAACTTAATCAGACAGACAGCAAGCAGCCGACATTGGTTATCAAGGGAGATAAACCTTGTGAAGTTGAAAATGCCATCAAGTTAGCAGACAAACCAGACTTATTCCAAAACTTGGACAGTGAGTAGCAATTTTATCTTTACGGGTACGAACACACAATCGGTCTTGGTCGCTGATTTTTGTTGCTGACTCGAATCTTGAGTAAAATCTCACATGTGCCCGTGCTTCCACAACAAAATTATCGGGCCCCTGACAGGATTTATAATATCAAACCAGTTTGGAGATAGTCTCTTCATGTGCCCACATTCCATCGGTGAAACTCTTTGACAAGACTCTAGTCGGCGACAAAAATTGGCAACCAAGATCGTTCGTGTGCC